ATCACAGCGCGATGTTTTCGTCGCACTGTGATGACGTCAAATGCGCGCTTTTGTCGAGCGCGATTTTGTCCTCCGCGGTTTTGTGGTGGAACCGCCAATCCCACTGCTGATGGTTTGGGCTCTGTGGAAAACAGGTGACTGTTGCGGCAAGCGTGATGCTTCACAGAGAGATCCTGAATTCACCGTCTTCTGAGAAGCGGACAGCAAGGAAAGGGGCAATTAGAAGACGGTCAATCTGAACAGCTGCTTCTTGAAGGGATCCGAGGCAAATCTGATGAGAGCCTAGGAAAGCGGGATTCAGATTTTCCCTCCTGAAGGCTACTGGAAGGCTGGCCAGTCCCCCCCCCCCAACTTCCTCTGGGCCCTTCCTCCCAGCCCGAAGGAAGTCTGATCCCTGGAGCATGCTTGCATTTCAGCTGGGAAAGCCCTACTCATTATTAATTATTATCACTTTTTAAAGGAAGAAACTAATCAGCGGGAGAGGCCTCCACTCAGTCCCTCCTCAGAGTCCCTCCTCCTTTCTCATATTCCCCCTCCAGTTTCATTTCGTATGGAGAAACTAAACCAAGAGATGGGACACGCAGGTTGAAAAGCCGGTCACTGCTGTTTGAAACCCAAAGGGCAAATAAAGCAGACACTGAAACTTCTAAGTGGATTGTAACCAGTTAGTAGTTACAAGTGGTAGCTGAAGTTAAGAGTTTTAGCTCTCACTCCCATTGAGTTCCCAACTTCATGTAATGATTACATTTCTATCACTTAAAGCAATAAATGAAGCATCTGTCAATCAAGGCTTCTTCCAATTCTCCCCGGAATTTAGCTTGGGACCGAGGGGCGGAATCGGAAAAAGCAAGAATGGTGAAAAATGATTTAAAATGATTCCCATGCATGTGCCAGTGTCTAGCTAGTTAGATGGTTCCGTTGTTATTCTTATAATTCCCTGCCTACTACATCTAGGGGGGCATAACTAAAATTTTAGAACAGGTTGAACACCTGGGTGGAGAAAACTGACAAAAAAACTTCCAATATTGCTTGAGGTAGAGGTGAACTCTGGCAACCATTGCTGGGTTAAATTAAACCGAGGCTAACTTCTGTTGCTTGGGCTAAATAATGTTTCAAGCTAGTTGTTCTGAAAATGTAAAACACAAATGTCCCCGTAAGTCAATCTCTTCAAAATCAAAAGAGGCTCAGCTGTTGGGTTATTACATTTCTCTTCTCCAGTTTAATTTTAAAAATAAGGCATTTTAATGGGTGTTTTTAAGGCCTTAGAGTGTATAAAAACTAAAATGAAAAATGGAGGCGAATATCATCTAAACTGACATGGTGAGGAAATAGCATCACAACTTAGAAATAAAATATTATCATTTGACCAATTAAAAAGATTATTCTCTAACTATTTATCTATCTAGGCCTGAGGAAATAATTTTAATGGCAGCTGCTTCTGGAGGGATTTTGTGGGGGGGGGGTCTCCGCCCAGCCCACCTGGCTGGGATGGACGTTGTGGGCGCCGTCTGGAGTTACGCACAAATAGAGGCCCGTCCAGGGCCGGAGCCCTTCAGCTGCAGGCCAACCAGGGTCCGTTTTCACTGCCACTTCGGCCTCCAATCTACCCTCCTGGGATCTCCAAGCGGATCGATTAGACGAAGGGCCCTCGAAGCGTCGTCTCTGTCCTCTCCCTGAAGGTCCCTCCTGGACCGGTGGGCGCCCCCGTCATCGCCCCCTTCGCTCTCCTGCCATTCGGATGAGGCTCGGTTGGATGTCATTGGGAAGACCAAACCGAGGGGCGCAGGGCAGGGGAAAGGACGGGCGCCTCTCCACCGCGCGCCACCCGGACCTGCCTCTCCGCCAGCCTTTCCCCCAGCCAAGCCCTCCTCGCCACCCCGGGGAGGCTCCCTTCGCTGGGCTCCGTCCCGTCCCGCCAGCCTTTCTGCTGCGGGCGCGCAGAGGCGGGGGGAAGGTCGGCGGGTCGGAGGCGCCGGTCCTCCTCCTCCCCCTCCGCCTGCGGCGCCGTCCCCGGGGGAGAGCCGGGCAGGGAGGCTTCCGGGCCGGCCCTCGGGCGGGCGTCTCGGCACGTGGCTGGGAGGGCGGCCGCCCGGGCCAACTTCGGCGGGGAGGACGGCGCGGGGGGCGGGGAGAGCGGCGCGCAGCCCCCGGCAGGTCCCGGCGAGCGCCCGCGTCTTCTCTCCTCCTCCCGCGGGCTCGGCTGTGCGGCGGAGGAGCTGCCGGAGCGAGCCGGGGAATAAGCAGCGCCAGAGACGCCGGGCTTTGTCTCTCCAGACGGGGCTCGTACGCGAGACGCCCCGCGCCCGCCCTCCTTCCCCTCTGCAGGAGGCGGCCAGAGGAGCCGGCAGGGATGCTGGCTGCGCGGCGTCCCCCCGACGTCCTCCGCCGGCCTCGCCCGCGCCATGCGTAGGAGTCCGGGCCACCGCCAGCGGGACCTTCCCCTCCCTCCGCCGGCCGGAGAGCCCCCTTGGGCGGCCGGGCGGCCGGGCTGCTGCGGGGTCGGCATGGCCCGCCGAGACCTCCTCCTGTTGACCTTGGCCGGGCTGCTGCTGGAGGCCTGGAGTGGAGGCCACGCGGCGGGCACCAGGCAGCCCCGCTTGCGCCTGGCGCACAGAGGTAAGGCGGCGCGGCGCTTCCCGAGGGGGGCGAGTGGTGCTGGGCGCTCGGCAGAGCCGCTTCTCCAGGCTCCGTCCCGCCCGAGGGCGAAGGCGCCTCTCTGCAGGTTGCGCACCGAGACGCCGAGGGGGAAGCGCGGCGCTTCTTCCCCGCTTAGCGGGGCTCTTTCCACCGCCCGCCAACTTCGGCTGCTGTGCCGGAGGGGCGCCGCTTGGGCCGAAGGAGCAGGTGCGGGGAGGGGGCCGGGATCCGAGGAGCGGAGGAGAGCGAGGGGCTCCGGGGATGAAGAAGCTGCCAGAGGGGAAACGGGGGACGGAGGGGGGCGGGGGGAACGAACGGACCTCTCTGCCTCTACGGAGCTGGCGGTTTTCTCATTTTCCCCTTCTTGGGGCTGGGGGATTCGCCCTGCTCTTCTCCCCCTTCTTGCTGAGTCCGGGGCTTTGAAATCTCCCGGTGCCCAACCTCGATTTCATGCCAAGGATTTGACGTCATTTGACAAGAGGCTTCTCTGACCCCCCCCCCTTTTGCTTATTTAGTCATCTTGGCTTCTAACCTGGAAGGTAACTGCTCCGCGCCCCCCTTGCCCCTTGCGACGCTTCACCTGTTTTAGGTTTACGTTTTTCATTCCTTGGAGTCCCATTGAAGCCCCCCACCCCACCCCCTGGTGTTCTGGGGAGGGGGGAATTGCATGGATGTTGGTTCAGTCTGTGAGGACAACAGGTGGGACTCAAAGGTCCAAAGAGCAGAGCTTCATTGGGAAGCCCCCCCACTCCCATCCCCATGAATATTGTCCTGGGAAGATGCAGACCAGGGAGGGGAGTTGGCTGCCGGAGGGGTCAGGGGGGGCGTCCACTGTCTTCAGGGTCCCAAAGAGAGAAGGCAGAGCCGGAGCCTCTTTAACGGCAGTGCTGGGTATATTTATTTGTGGGCCTGGTTGTTGGCTTTGCATCCAGAAGAGTTTCGGCTGTTCTGGCTGCAGTTCTTTGCGCATGAAGCGGGGGGGGGGAGAGCTGGGGGCTTCCATCTGAGTATAAAATGGTGTGGGATGCATTCCAGGAAGGGCTGCCCCAGTGCGGTCGCTGGACGGTACTCGGTTGATGATGGCAACGTGATCTTGGCTTGTTTTTCAGAGTTTGTCAGCAACTGGGAGGGGGGCAGCTGCGTTCACAATACGTCCGGCTTCTTTTGCCCCTCCCGGAGGGTCTTTTGGCCCTTGGCACCTGCCTGGGCAACTCCCTGCACTTTTGGGAGTGGTTTGCCCTTGCCGTTTTCCTGGGGCTGAGAGAGAACGGCTGGCCCAGGGCACCCGGCTGACCTTCTGCCCCTAAAATTGAGTTCATGGTCTCCTACTTTCTAACCTGATGCCTTAACAACTATGCCCAGACGGTTCCATTACGGATGCTACCAAAGAGGAATAATATATTCTTTTATAAAGAGATAAAAAGTATTCTTCGCTTTATATCGCAGCCTTTACAATAAGATTGTCATCTGAAGACTGTAGAAACTGCTAAGCGTTCCCCATACAAATGTAGAGTAATTGCTATCTACTTTCGCTTCTCCACTAAGAAATTAAAAAAACTTCACTTAGTAACTAGGCTCTGCCGTGGTTTCGTTGGAAGTGCTGTCTACACCAGTGTAGACTGGCTGTGACTGGCAAAGCCTTGGTGAGCTCCCTTGTATCCTGGTAGGCAGCCTGACTCCTCCAGATCAGAGGGGAGCCTGGGGCGGCCGGAGCAGCGTTCCTTTGGGGCTGATTCTGCCCGAGGATACGGGACCGTGGCAGAGTTTGTCCCTGGGAGGAAGAAGGTGGTCAGATTGACCCCCCTCCCTGCCTCTCTTCACCTCCATAACTCCTGATCTCTACATTCGCAGGGGCTCCAAAATACCCAGCAGCCATTCAGAGCTTCCCACCCTTGCTGGGAATAATAGCTGCAATCAGATGATTCACAAAAACGATTGATTTCGACTCCGGTGCCGTCGTGATGTTCAACAATCAGTTCCAATTAGAGAGCTGAACGGACTCTATTTTCGCTCTTTTCTCCTTGGGCTGCAAATGGGAACGTCACGGAATAAAATCTCTCTTAGCGTTTTTGCTTTCTGCCGGGTTGTCTGCCAGGCCTGTCTGGCTCCCTGTGATGCACCCTTGACTAGCTGAACGGTTATACAACCGTGTGTGAGATGAGTCGGGGCGAGAAAGTTACCCAGATGGCTTTCATGGCTAAGAGGGGGCTAGAACTCCCAATCTCCCAGTTCATAGCCCGATGATGTCTTAACCACTCTAGCAGTGGCTCTCATTAGAGTTCTGCGCATGTCTTCGTGCCTAACATTAATAAAAGCTTGTAGATTAAGAGTCATTAACCAAAGGAAAGGGAAGTTGACCCATTCCCAAGTTGGTTGTTCCGACGTCCTTGGTTCTGCATCAGGGAGGCGGTGGGCATTCTCCCTGAGAGAGGCTGGCCTGCTGGGGGGTTTCTGAACCCCTGGGGCCGGTAGTCCTGGCCTTCTCTGCTGAGGAGGCAGGCCTGCCTGCCAGGGAGAAGGGAAGCCCAGTCCAAAAACTTTCCTACAACAGACTGAGGACTAGTATCCGAGTCAGGCCCTGTGGGCAGCCCAGGTGCTTTCTGCCTTCAGGGGGTCCCAGAGAGGGAGGCAGAAGAAGAGGCTCGGCATCTCCTTCAGGATAACCCCTGCTGGTTATTCTCCCGGTGGCTACCTGACAACGGAGGCCAGGCCACCCCGGAAGCTGCCTGAAGGTCCCTTCCTTGTCCGGCTGCTGTGAAGACGGAGGGTGGGGGGTTTAGGGCCCTTGCGGTGGTGAGGGATTGGGCCCTGGTCGCGTGCATTTCTGTGCGGTGGCTGAGCTGCTGCACCTGGCCAGGCTCCTGCCCGGCCCCAGGGAGGGTTGGCTCAGGGGGCTCGTCCTGCTTCTCAGGGCTGCCCAAGCTCCCTGTTGTCGAGGGCTGTGGAGAATCAGGATTCCACCTTCTTTTTTAATGAAAGTGAGTGGGATTTTCTTCCTCACTGCCAAAAAAGGGGTGGAGGGGTTCATAGCAGCCGGGGGAGGGGATGGAGAAGCCCTGGGGAAATGGAGAGTCTGAACCTCCCATTAAGGCCGTGGTGGGGAGGGCTGGAGGAGTCACAGGAAGCCCCCAGCATCGACTGAGAGACCCTCCCAAGGCAGAAGGAGGGAGGCATGCCTGGAGGCTGGCTTTGCTTATTGGGCTGTGTGGAAATATCCCTCCGGCCCACCCTTAAGCCTTGTGGGAAGCTTCTCTTGCCCAGGAAAATTCCCAGTTTCCTCCAAGGGATTCCCACTGCGGGAACTGGTTTGCCTAAGAGGCTTCCATAAATCTGCTTGATTGGAACTGCACATCTGCTCCGTCTTTCCAGGAGGAGAGAATAAAGGCGCATGTTGACTTATCTTTTGGACGCAGCATTCAGACGAAGCGTCCGTGGTACACTTCATTTCTCCAAAAGGTGCTTGAATGGGCGTTCAGCTCCAGATGATTTCAGCTATGCATCCGGCTGATCTAACAAGGCGCCGACTAGAGTTTGAATGGGAGACCACTCGGCAATCACAAGGTTGCTGATCGGATTGGCGGTGTTGTTGTTTTTTTTAACAAACAAACATCTTGGGGGAAGCAGGCTCGCAGGAAGTGGGTTGTGCTGTTGTCACCAAAGCAACGAGGAATCTGGCAATCTGGCACCCGTTTAACACAGGGAGCCTCCGATATGGTGGCTGAATACTTCAGTCCGCGTGTTTTCAAAAACAGGGCAAGGAATGTAAAACAAAGTCTTCTACTTGATGATAAAATGGTTCTTTTGCTTTGACTTTTTAACGTAATAGTTGATGTCCAGTCACCTATTACTGGAACTTGCTTCCTTGACAATGAATTGCGAAATGTGAGATTCTCATTCCGAACTAAAGTACTTTTGTCACATGTCATTTTTTAAACTATTGTTTTACATTTGTTTTATGTAGATATAAGGACTGTAGAGTGTTAACTGTGAGATGGGAAAAGGCCCATTAGCTGCCCAGCTATTCTTTCTCAGTTTCCTTGAGAGCTCTTGGCAATGAATTTGTAAATATTAGACGTTTTTGGAAATAACTTTAAGTTCCTTCTTGTCGCGACTCTTTCCCTAACCGTTGCCTTGGGCGATTATCTAGGATTAATGGATGCTATTGAATTTACACGCCCGGACGTGTCAATGGCAGCATAACCCATGCAAACTGATCTTGGTGTAGCAGGAACCTCGGGGGGCTGATCTGCCTTCATCCGATCACCTTTTTGGAAAGACGGCATGCGAGGCCTCTGGCCCGAAGGCTCAGCTCCCGTAATGGGTCTGCAGTGAGGCTCTCGTCTTTTACGCACAACTCCGCTCATCCTAACATTCTTTGGCCATCACACATGTATGCGTGGAGGGATGCAGTGTGCTTGTTTTGAGCTCTGTTGGGGCCGTGATAGTAAGCGGTGTTTACACTGACGTAAGGCTCAGGAGGACGTTGTTAGCGGAGGTGCCCTGTCACTCGCCCCCAGGCCTCCTTACTCTTGCCGCCCCGTCAAACAGCGGCATCTTCAGGCGAGGCCCTGTGGGCAGTTTGTGAAGAGAAGGAGACGTGGAAACCGCATGGTTGGTTGGGACCTGCTGCATCAAACCAGAGGCCACTCTGACCCATGGCGGGGGGGGGATGGGGGTAGCCGCAGGGGCGAGGCAGTTTGGTGAAACTGATATATGGCCTTGACTTCGAAACTTAATGGGTCATATATGGGGCTCAGTAAAGACGAAGCCTGAGGCTAAAGTGTGTGTGTGTGTGTGTGTGTGTGTGTATGCATATACACAACCCAGTTTTTTGGGGGGAACTGAGTAGGGTATACGCGCAAGAAGGAATGCAGAGCCAAAGCAGCCAGTGGTGGCCCTGGAAGAGCAAGATGAAGACCCTCCAGAGGGTCAGAAAAGGGGCTCCGGCTACAGAGGCAGCTCTGAATCCTGGGACACTG